TTTAAACTCAAGTGTGCATTAGATGAAACTTATATGTGCGAAAAAAAAAGTACAAAAATAACATCACATCGTATTTTTTATTCTGCACATTTCAGCTTCACCTAGTGCACATTTCAATTTCACGTAATGCACAATTCAACTGCACGTAATGCCACTCTATCGTACCCTTTGTGATGCACATTTCAATTTCACCTAATGCACATTACAGTTTCATCTAATGCAAACTGAATTTCACTTGAGGCAAATCTAACGGTCCAGATTCGTTCTCATTTTTCTCATAAGATCGTGTTCTTATTTGAACCAAAACCTATATATATATATATATATATAAAGTCACAAAATATAGGTGTTGATGGACACAAACTAACACGAAAACCAATGTGTTTGATCGCACAAATCAACATTTGTGATTCAATCAATTCAATTAATCTAAGCGCTATTAATATGAATCATTATTTATTTCCATTTTACGGTTGTTCAAAAGTGGACCTACCAATTACCATTAACAAAAAAGATGCTGGTCAATCATTTTTCCGTGCTAGAAAAATAGCACTATCATTTGCTTACCTCTTTTTATGTAAATTGTAAATTGTTGTCTCCCATGTGCTACTTTTTACCTTTTATGCTACATACCATTCAATTTATCAAGATTCAAGAATCAAATATTGCGGCTCTGCTAGCTTTAGAAATTGTATATCACCTATCCCCACTCAATTCGCAAAGACCGTCCGTCCGTAGTACGTACCTCACTTTGAGGTGAAAGATGTGCTTGGCTAACCCACTTTTATAGTGGGGACCAAAAAAATTAGCATGTAGGCTGTAGTAGTAGTTATAGGTTGATTCTTCCAAATGTTATTTATTATTCTAGATTTCAAAAGGTTTCTAACTTTTAGATTGTCTATTTTGTGTCATTTAAACATTATAAAATTTATATTTCACTAAACTATCTAGAGCCCGTTTGGTAGCACGAGAATCGGCTTATTTAGCTGTTTCTGCTGAAATTTATGAAGTTCTGGCTGAAGTGGCTGCATTGGCTGATTCTGTTGATTTAAGAAAAAAATATTTTTAATATATATTTTATTAAAAAAATAAAGAAAAAGTTATATGTAAAAATAGCTAAAATGGTCATCTACAGTAACTTCAGCCAATACAGCCAAAATAGTAACTTCAGCCAATACAGCCAAAAAAGTAACTTCAGCCTTAGTTTTTTTGCTTATTACACAATCCAACGCGCGAAAGCAAAAATTAAGTGTTTGGTGAAAAAGCTGGCTGCAGATAAGCCTGATAAGCCGAAAAACAGTGTTGCCAAACGGCCTCCTAGTGTGTTTGTACCTAATTGTTAAGTTTTGTATACTTGCTTGTTTTAGGAGGTCTTGATTCGCCATTTGGAACTGGGACCTCCATATTCATTAGAAAGATGAACTTGTAACATACAATTACAAAAAATAGTTCAAAGGTTTCTTGGTAACAAGTAATTTTATTAAAGGTTATTAAAACTGCTTCTGCTCCTTCAGGGAGCAGAAAGAAAAATTAGAGTGTTTGGGTGTATGTGCAGAAGTGATTCTGATGCTCTAATTTACTCCTAGAATCAGTTTTTTTAGAAGTTGGGGGAGACTAACTTCTGAAAACTGATTCTGATTCTGCTTCTGTTTAAAAAAGAAACAGAAGCAGAAGCAGTTTCAAACACCCCCTAAGTCACATTTTTATTATTAAGTCACCTAAAGTTTCCTAAGTTGTAATCAACTATAACTCTTTTTCCAATAATCAATAAGTTACCCCTGAGTTTTGATTATGCTCACTATTTATCCCCCTCACGTTAATATTTCTTAAATTAAATAATACTCCCTCCGTCCCCTTTTAAATGGGACGGGAGATGGTGGCACGGGTTTTAAGAAAAGTGAGTTTGTGTGGTTGATATTGATTGATAAAGTAAGAGTAAAGTAAGAATGATTTTGAGCCACACAAAGTTTACCAAATAAGGTATGGGGCAATTAAATAGGGACATCCCAATATGGTAAAACGGGACATTTAAAAGGGGACGGAGGGAGTATATAACTGTCAAATTCAATAAATCTTGTCTAGAATATACTCCCTCCGTCCCCTTTTAAATGTCCCGTTTTACCATATAGGGATGTCCCTATTTAATTGTCCCATACCTTATTTGGTAAACTTTGTGTGGCTCAAAATCATTCTAACTTTATTCTTACTTTATCAATTAATATCAATCACACAAACTCACTTTTCTTAAAACTCGTGCCACCATCTCCCGTCCCATTTAAAAGGGGACGGAGGGAGTATCTACTTTTGAAAATAAAAACAATTCATCATCATAATTATAGGCCATAGTGGTTGGTCATTATTTTTTATGAGGTACTCGTAGAGCAAATATTAATGAATAGTTAAGGGAGCTGAGAAGGCTATATAACGAGTAATCCTCAAGGGATACAACGAAGAAAGTTGTTTAAAACATTTGTTTGACAAATTCTAGCTTAGGCACTTTATTCTATAATGCATATAAATCTTATTTGTAAATCATTGACATTTCTTCCTCATGTAGCAAAATAGAAATATTGAGAAACAAATGTGATTTATGATGATGATAACGATTATCTTGGCTTATAAGAAAATATACTTAGAAAAGTTTTATTGAATTTAACAATCCAAGAATCGAACTTATAATTTCTTTCATAAATAGACGTTGTTACTAGAGTGAGTTTATTACTCACAATGTTATATTTTAGCATTTTTGTACGTATTTACACTAAAATAAACTCTCCGCATTTAGGATGTTTTTACTTGGACTGTTTTCAGTCCCAAACCAAATCAGACTTAAGCATATTAGACCAGACCAGATCAGACTAGACTTAAACAGACCAGATTGGATCAGATCTGACTTCTATACTCTATAGTTATAAAATACACAGAGACCGAACATCTACTAGATCAGACCAGACCATACTTAAACATATCATATCAAACCAGTTCAGCAAATTTCAGTCCAAGTAAAAACATTCTTACATCAACAAACTAGTCCAAGTAAAAACTATTCCATTAGTCACTTGTAACTATAATATTTAAGACTTTCAATTCAACATGTCACTATTTCAACTAAACATAAACCACACATACTAATAAAAACAATTATACTTTTCACATTTTTATGTGCCTCTATACAATTAATAACATCATTTACACCTTATATATATATATATATATATATATATATATATATATATATATATATTACATTCATATAAATAAGCCAATAGAAGCAATATTATTACACATTAATAACATCATTTACACCTTATATATTTCATTTACTAGTAAATTGGTCACGCTTTGCGCGAATGTCATATACGTACCCAACTCTCAAATTTAATAAATTGTGTGAAATGAATTTAACATAACTATCAATTAAATGTTTAGTTTGAGAGTTATATAATACGTAGTATAACATATTAAATTTCACAAAACATGAGATGCAATTGAATTAGATATCGATTGTCGTAAAACATTATGAACATGGAAAAAGTAATTGATGCGTGAATATAAAAAATTGAAGCAAGAGATTAAATATAAGTTTATATTGATGTGTGAATATAAAAAATTGAAGCAAGAAACATTATACGGAGTATTTAACTTTCAATGCTCAATATTGTTATACGAAGTATATAATAGTTCAAAAGAGCATTGAATAATGGTCATATACGTTTTGTTTTAATAAATTTGAAAATTTTGAAAAGTAACAATTTAAATTTATCGGGATTAATGACATTGGGACCCACCCATACGTAAACATTGCAAGACCTAAAATAAGCAGGGAAAAACGTTTATGAAAATATATTACTAAAAATTAAAATCATAAACTCATAAAGGGATTTCATACGGTAGGGAATCATGCTAAAATCTTTTAAGCTAAGAGAGAGTAATACGGAGTATAACTTAATAATACTCCCTCCCTCCCAATTTGTTTTGCAAAGTCAACATTTTTTGGTCAATCAATTATAAAAGTCAACCCTCTCTATGGATAATTAATTCAATTTTTAATAATTAAAATTTACATATTCAAAAACTACATTAAAATCTTTTCAAAGTTGTAAACTCCAAATTAGAAAATTATTAAAAATTGACATCCCAATTAAGTGAACAAAACGAGACTGTTTGACTGAGAAAAGTCAAAGTTGCAACTCTTTTTGGGACGGAGGTAGTATAACGTTGATGATCAATATATGATGACAAGAAGGAGATCAGATCAGAGTAAAATACTAAATATATAGTAATTGATATGAGATGCCTCATGTTCTTGAATGAGCATAAAAATCATGATCTTATTTTATAATCGATTTATTTCATTAAATTGAGGATTAAATGTTGAAAAATTAAAACCAATTACATTCAATGAACTGAAGCAACATGTTCAATTTAACAAATATTACAAAAGAGAAGAGCTGGACTTTAACACCGTTTACTAAGCTTGACGGTGCGTTTGATTATTTGATGGGCCAAATAAATGAAACACTCTAATAGCATATGGTACAATGATTTAAAGCTTAATGTGAAAGAAAGAAGTAAGCAATGAGCATTAAATGAGAAAACCGGCCTTTATTAAGATAGGTTAAGATATAAATAAGTCATTAGAATATCTCCATTCATGATATTCAAATAAACGGATTTTCTAGTACACATAATTGCCATGTCATTCTTACACTGCACATTAAATTCTTAATAATCTCAAAGCTTAAAATTATTCATCAACAATGATATTCATGTAGTTAGCTTTTTTATGACATGCATTAAATGCATTTAACTATAATCTACAATAATCCGGGATTTGAATCTTGATACCGGATTCTCTTTTTAAATAATTCCCCTAAATAATCTCTTTCCCTCAATGTTAATCCTTGAAATAATCTAACACGTCATCTCATTAATCTTCAAATAATCTTACCAATGGTGATGCCCTTAGAGCATCTCCAATGCTCTTCTTTGAAGTGAAGGTAAATTTTGCCAAATGTCACTTAAATAGGGTAATGTGTATCCACATAAGCTATACCTCAAAAGAAATTAACAAGAGATCTCCAATGCATAATGTTGAAACATTAAATATTATCTACTTGTCATTTTTAATATTATAAATTTTTAAATTAAAATGCATGACTCCTAAACCTGGCTGCCGCAAAAGCTATATGCGAAGTTCCATAGTAAATCTGCTGCGCAGCCAATCTTCCACCGTATAACATCAAATAAAGAAAAATACGTCTGCCTGCAATTGGATTATTGGAGCAATTCTTCACAAGGTATTTAGCATTAACTCCTCCAAATTGAATTTGATTGTTTCTTCTTCTACCACGAAGCAAATAAATCTGCATACGTAATTTAGATCATGGTTCTCTTTTTTCATTTATCTAATAACAGTATGATTAAAAAATTGTGAACATGAATTTATCAGAAGGGACATGTGATGAGAAAAATGCATATGATTTTTTAATTTGACATGTGAATTTCACTTTCTTGCTGCCTTGTTTGGTTTTGTCAGTGATATGAAATTTCAATTAATCGATGTTAATTTTACTTTTATTATTACATAGATTGATACACAAATTTTGTACTTTTTAGTGACATTTGAAATTCATTTTATCATTTGTATTAAGTTTATATATTAACATGCCACAGCAAATGTCATCACGAGATTCTGAATTAAGCCTCACCACCGGATCATCATCAAATTCAGAGTCACTTTCACTTACCAAGAGATATTGGGGAGATGATGGTTTTGACTTTTGATGAAGAAGTTAACTCTTTCATGGTTGAAACCGGCACAGTTCATGTTCCAATTATGATTTCTACATTTTTAACAGGTAGAAAACGTCCACATGGGGGCTCAACAATTGGTAGAGAATATATTTATCGTGATAGGAAAGATCGTCACAATTTGATTAAAAGTGACTACTTCAGTGGCGAGAAGTCAAAGTACACTCTGGACAAATTTCGGCGCCGATTTCGTAAGGATATTGAGCTATTCGAGCGAATTTTGCATGCGGTAGAGAACTATGAGAATTACTTTACACAAAAGGTTGATGCAGTTGGAAACATAGGGTTGAGTCCTTTACCAAAAGTTGTAGCAGCAATGCGAATGCTTGCATACGGTTGTTCAGCCGATTCCCTTGATGAATATGTTCAAATTGGTGAGAGTACGGCAATTGAGTGCCTAAAAAAAATTTGTGATGCTATAATAGGATTGTTTGAACAAAAATATCTTAGAAAATCAAATGAATTTGATGTCGCTAGTCTATTAAAAGAAAGTGAAGCTCGTGGGTTTCCAGGAATGCTTGGGAGTCTAGATTGTATGCATTGACACTGGAAAAATTGTCCGACTGCATGGCATGGAACATTTACAAATGGGTTCAAAAAAGTTCCAACTCTTATTCTAGAGATTGTAGCTTCACGTAGTTTATGGATTTGACATGCATTCTTTGGTATGTCAGGTACTAACAATGATGTCACTGTTCTGGATAGATCTCCTCTATTTGATGACCTAGTTAATGATATTGCACCACCGTGTCTATTTAGAGTACAAGGCCATGAATACAATATGGGCTATTATTTATCTGATGGTATCTATCCACAATACGCCACATTAATCCAAACTATATCACAACCCACTTCTATGAAGGAGAAGTTGTTTGCAAAATGTCAAGAATATGCTCGGAAGGACGTAGAACGTGCATTTGGAGTTTTACAAAGCCGTTGGCACATAGTAAAAGGCCCCGCTCGCATGTGGAGTGCAACTGATCTAGGGCAAATAATGAAGACGTGTATCATCTTGCACAATATGATTATTGAAAGTGAGGTTGCTCAAGGCATCAATCCGGAAGATTGGAGGCCAGAAAGCGGTGAAGCAGTTGAAAATGTGACCATTGAGCATGATTTTACTTATCTTATGTCGAGGATAAACGGTAGAATGAAAGAAATACAAGATAAAAGAGTGCATAAAGATCTAAAGCGCGATCTTATCAACCACTTGTGGGAATTATATGGTGGTCAGAATGAAGATTGAAGTGTCTTTGCCAAGTTATAGACAATCAATATTGCATTTGAGTTTGTATTTTTTAATGGGAGTTTCCCAGTGGATTCTACATTGCAATAATCTATATTTTTAATATTTTCATATTCTCTGGTGTTTTATCAATGGGTCAAATCCCTCATTTCAAACTGGAATTGTATATTAATTTCTTGCCTATCAATAAAATTTGTTTCAGCAACACATCCTTACTTTAACAAAAAAGCTATTTTATTAATACTCTAGCTTAAATAAAAATGTGTAATGATGAAGTGCTGAAAATTCTGCAGCGTACCATATCAAATTTGATTGTTTTACTTTTATGTAAAATAAAATTGCAAATGTGAGATGTTGGTAATTTTGCACCCCACAATGTTATGATAGCTTGTTTTTTCTTTTACACGTAGACTGTCCCTGGTACCCCTAATTAAGTTGGTATTGGATTCATTAAGTTTACACATGAAGTCTTAATTCATCAAATCACACATGAAAAGCAAAGTTTACATTCATCATAATAAACAAGAAAAGTAAGATAATTCAATATGTGTTCAAAATTTAAAGTAAGACAGAAACTTCATGTTTTGTGTTCAAAAGGAATACGGAAACAATAAATAATGAAAAGAAAAGAATAACTTCTTGATCATAGAGTGTTCCTAGAAAATGTAAACTAAAACCTTCAAACTTTATTCCTCTTAAACGCAACCTGCATATATGAAGTTATAAAAGTGATCAAATTAATTTATGGACATATTCTCACAAATTAATAGTGAAATAAATTAAAACAATAATACAATATGAACACTTACTTTTATAGATTAGAAGAGACTATCATTTTCCCATTCTTTCAATATTTTTGCCTGCATAAGTTCATAAGAAGCTCTAACGGATGGTGACAACTTACTGAGGTCTTGGTTCATGATGTGATTCTGGTTCCGCCTCCTTTGACCTTTTTCTTTTAATTCAATTTCTTTCATCAACACTTGCTTTCTAATTTCCATGCTTTCTCGATTAACATCAACTTGTTTCTCCAAAATTGACTGCAAATTCTGCAACTTATTCAAGGCATCCACCACACCTTTTTCTTCGTGTAACCTTCGTTTTTTGTCTTTACAATTTTTTCTTCCTTGTGGTCGAACAATTCCATCGTTGTCAGTTTCTTTTGGTGGTATAGGATTTTCGGGAATAACATTTGAAGACTCAGTCAATGTTGCTGGAATGCCATTATCAGAACCTTGTTTATTTGACGCACCTGTCTTCGTAACAAATTGTGAGCACCACTTTGGATTCTTGATCAATATTTCCCAACAATGAAGAAATTTGAATGGAGTTGCATAAAAATCTTCATACAAGCGTAGTGCTTTTATCACCTATTAAAAGTATAGCATAAGCATGATAAGTCACACATGAAAAATACATTCTTGCAGAGCCATGCATTTAAAAAATTTCATGTTTTTGATAAAGCTACTGGTTCATGTCTTCTATGGCAAAACCATATCATGAAAATATGTAACAGTAAGAAATGAAATATAACAAGACTCTTACCAAGTCCTCCTTATTTGTACCACTTCGTGAGCAACGTTCCAACTGCTCATACTTTGCGACAAATTTACTTACTGTAGATCGTATTAGGTGCCAATGGCATTGCATGCTATTGTTGTTTCTTGCTATCTTGTGATCTGGCCCCATTTTTTCCTTCCAAACTTCTAAGACACGGTTCCACATGGCAGCATTTTTCTGATTATTACCCACATCAGCATCCACAGAAACATTTAGCCATGCCTCTGTTAGTGCAACTTCCTCTTCAATAGACCAATCCTTTCTAAGAATGGAAGGTTGAGGAGTAGAAGGTTGAGAAATGTCAGGGTTTTTTGTGTCCTTGACTCTCTTTTTTGATGCCTTGGTGGTCTCACAAATTGGAGAGGTCATAATGGGTGCATTCAACAATTCTTGGTAGGAGAATCCATGTGAGTTATTCTGCTCAAAATGCAATGGAAAAGTTCCATTTTTTGGATCAACATGATAGATGGGTGGAGTGAATTGGTTCATATTGTGAGATGGGATAGAGTAACCAGAAGGTGGACTGAAAGTATTCAGATTGTGTGATGGCATGGTGTAAGTGGGAAGAGGATTAAATTGGTTCATATTCAATTGGGGTATGGGGTAACTAGCAGACTGCCTGGTATTCGTAAACTCAAAGGGTTCTTGTGATTCCATCGAAGAAATTCCACTTTTGGTCCTCCGAGTTTTGCACCAATTCCACATTTAGTCCTCATCTTTCACTTTATCCAGTTTTGGTACCTGACTATTGTTTTTCCGACCATTTTTACTACTGAAAAAGGACTATATATGGTCAAGAAAACAATAGTCAGGTACCAAAAATGGATAAAGTGAAAGATGAGGACTAAATGTGGAATTGGTGCATAACTCGGAGGACCAAAAGTGAAATTTTTTCTGATTCCATCTATACTGCTTTGATAGAAACTTGTAGGCATTAGATACACCAAGTAGCTTATTAACATTAATTAAACAAATATTGTATTAACCAGTTGGTATAGTTGCTCCTATGAAAAGCTGGAATTTAGAAACACTCTATTTACATCATCATCTATATTAAGCAGAGCAATATGGCTTCACTAGAATGCTGCTAGTATCCACCACAGAATTTATCAAATCCATATGATTGCACATCAATAAAATACCGTAAAGTATAACTACATTCCATTTTAATGTGATAAAATCCAGAATTGCAGCCCACTATAATCACATTTATATACATATATTCTCCACGTACTAGTTCAGTAACATATAACTACATCTTTGAATTATACGCAGATTTGGCAGTTGGCATAATTGATTTCTAAATCTGATGCATCGATTTCTCACATACAAGTGGCTTCGAAATTTATCACACCATGTTCTACAAATTTCCAGAAGTCATTAGCAATTTAGCATGTAATTCAATTTGTGGAGTGCGTATTCCCAAAATGGCACTCAACAATCTGAAAAGTGGGGAATTAGTTGGCTCGAACCAATTCTTTTAACCTACAGGGATCAACTTTTCAAAATTTGAGAAGAAGAACAATATATGCAAATAAACTCCGTGCCTCATTTGCATAGAATTTAGGAAGATAGTATTTAGCTTAGTTAGAAATATATATTCAAATATACTTCCGTAATCAAGCATGCGTCAAAGCACATCTAGAGATAAAAAGTAGCTATCATTAGAAGAATACTCACCGGATTAGAAAGAATTCTCACCAGAAAGATTGTATAAGAATACTTGGGGTAAAATTAACATATGTAGAACATAGTCTCAGTTTGTTCCGGCGAGGCGATAGAGTCGAATATGTGTACTAGATGCATTTGCGTGTGAATCGTGAGATGAGATAAGACTAGGTTTGCCCTGTAAAATATTTGCCGCCGCTTTTTTCAGAAATGAGCGCCAATTTTTTCAGGGGCTTGTGCGCGAGCGGGAGCCTTCACAGCGTGAAAAGTTCTTTCGGAAATTCAACAGAGGTTGAAAGCGTGGGTTCCATGTCATATTAAAAGAGCCAATAAAAGAATGCATTGGAGCTAAAATATTGAACACACTTTATCAACGGCTGATGTGGCCAAAGTTTATAATGTCAAAAGAGATGCATTTGAGATGCTCTTAGAAGCAATATTATTACACATTAATGACTCATGTAATAATAAAAATAAATAAATAAAAAACATTAATTACAGTATACAAAACCCAATATATCTTTGTTACGTTGTATATAAACTATTTATGCCAGCAAATATAAAAAGTTACATTTACCCATTTTTCATATGTATTTTACGTGAGGGAAAGGTGGTAAACTAATTACACTCGTTTATAAGAGGAAGAATACATCTACGGAGCATTGAATTCCCGATTTCAACCTAAACGGACTTTGAAGGCTCTGGCGGCAATATACGAAGATTTAAACTACTATTTCACATTAGTTTTCTACATGTGTGTGGAAGCAAAAATAAGCAATATATATTGTCATCTTGTTTTAAATATATAAAGAAGAGAATCGGAAATATTTGCAAAATTATTTTTCTGAGCAAGCATCGTAAGGAGTTTGCGTGTAATTTAAAAATAGGTTACATAGGTAAGCAAACGATATATTTTATATTTTACATGCAAACCATTTTATTGCCCTAAACTTTACATGCAATCATTTTGCATGCAAAGTTTTAATGTGTAAACTACCAAACAGGAACTTAGAGTACCTATAGTGTCAACCTTTATAATAAATTTAAGGATAAATTGAAAATAATAATCTCAACTATTGTCGATCCGTTACAATAATCTCAACTATTGATTATTTCTATATCCCAACTACATGGACCGTTCATTAATAATGATCCATGACCAGGTATAACTTGTTGTAACATGTCAATTTTTTAAAAAAACACTAAATGTATTCTATATATAATCTGAATTATGCTCGTTCTTTTTTAATATTCTCAATTATCTACTCAAATATTTAAAAACAAATAATTTTTTTTTAAATATCAAATTTTGAATTTTATAAATGAAAGTTTAAGTAAATCTAAAAACATTTTTCGTTTTAGAAAGAAAAAATGTGACATTTTATTTTTTATTTTTATTTCATGTTTTTTTTTGTAATTTTTGATACATAATTGTTTTTGGATTCTTTTACAAAATCGTGATTTTTTTTTTACTAATTTAAAATGATTTAATATTTCAGGATGAGTAGCTTTTAATTTTTTAAACATTTACAAACAAAGTATTAGTATTTCTTATCTTTTTCACTTTCTTAATTATACCGTAGAAGCATTACGGTGTATAGTTTCTAATAAAGATAACTCCTACTACCTCCGTGTTTAAAAGTTCCTTACACTTTCCTTTTTTGGTAAGTTTTTCCTTTAAAAATACTCAATTATCCTTACTTTTTCTACTTTTTATCCTCTCTTTCCTACTTTTTCAACATCTCTCGTACTTTTTCTATATTATTCATTACCATTACTATTCTTTCTTAAATTTTGGGCCATAATCAAACATAGCCATCTTTTAAATACGGGGGAGGATTACTGTATTAGCATAAATATATAATGGGTTAAATAGGTGTAATGCATAAACTTTGCGTTTTACTCTGTATTTCTTTGTTAATCTTTCAATTTTAAATTCATACTACTTAATCTTTCAATTTTAAATTTATACTACAAATTCACAGTTTTCTCTTCTCCAACGTGCCCCAACAAAGTGCATAAAATGAAAAGAAAAGGGGACGATTCTCCCTTATGGGAGGTCCTTTAGAAGAAGTGGTCCAACCTAGGGGTGGACCGGGCCCGGTCCGGTTCCGGGTCGGGCCCGGACCGCCCAGCGGGGGTTGGAATTTTTTGGGTTAGTCCCGAGACCGGCCTGGGAGGCTGGGAGTCTACCGGTACCAGGCCAGGCCAGTTCAGTTTAATTTTTTTTTGGGTTTTCTTATTTATTCCACCCCAACCCCCCAAACCCCTCGAAAACACCCAGCCCAACCCACCTAAACCCAACCCAAACCCAAAAAAAAAAAAAAGAAAAAGGATCGGGCCCGTACCGGCCGGGCCGGACCCACCCCCATAAACCCCCCTAGTCGGGCCTAGGCCCAGTACCGGTACTGGTTTACCAGGCCAGGCCCGCACAGTGGCGTGCCAGGCCGGTTTTGCACGGTGGCGGGGCGAGCCGGTCTCGCACAGTGGCGGGCGGGCCGGTCTCGCACAGTGGCGGGCCGGTCGGACCAGACCCTGGCCAAGACTAGTCCAGCCTAGCCAATCTCCGACTCACTATCCTTTATGAGAGGTCCCGAGTTCAATTCTCAATGGAGTGACACTGAACCCAGTTTACCACAAGTCCCCTAAAACCCCTCTCCCCCGACACCCCGGGGTAAAAAAACAAAGAAAAGGTGACGACCAACTGTATTTCTTTCAGCACATATCAGTCAGTCTGCCCTCCAACCCTATATAAATTCCTAGATCCATTTCAAAAAGGAAAGTTTTAGAGAAAAGAGGAACACCATGTACCCACTAAGTCACTGACTAATACGGAGTTGTAAAAAACAAGACTCAAATCAAACTTTGCATTTTATAGAACACATTTGCGAATAGTTCTGAGTTTCCTAGTATATAAACAGTAAAAACTAAAACAAAACCAGCTAAGTAGGAATAAACTAAAGCAGCATCGACCTTTACAATGAATATCAGCAAGAACGATTTTCCGGTGTAGTCTAGTAAAAACTAGAACTGCCGAGGTACGCAGTTCTAGAAAAAATTGGACAGCTTCCCAGGGGTTGAAAGAGAGAAACTGAAGCTGCAATGAAATGTCAATATCTGGAGATTGCATGTTTTAAGTAGTATATGGACGCGGCAATTTCATCACCTTAATCTCAACAACTATGTGTGGGGTCCGTAATCAGTTTCCAGCAATTTACTTTTTTACTTTTTCTCTAATCAATAAATAACATCATACAACGAATTTACACAGATGGTGAACCTGTATTACCGTTGGATAAAGAGACCTGCAGGAACACCAAAAAGAGACTTCAGACATATTTGTTTCATATTCCCCCCTCCCCCAAAAAGACTTCATAATCAACTCCCCTGTCTGTCTACCCACACTGCATACACACATGCTCCATCAAACTCTAACCCCCCCCCCCCCCCCCCCCCTCCCCCCCACCAAAACATGCATGGGAGTTTTGACACACGACCTTTTTATGCTAAAGCAGCATCAACATATATTAGTCATTAAAGAAACTTGTTAGTATCCATTGTTGTTACAGAAGTACAATGACAGAGTTTATTGTTTTTAGTGGAAAACACACATGAATCTTTATATACTTAATGATGACAAACACTGCAAGTAGGATCAAACTACTTGGCGTCATTGTTTCAGGGCAATGCTCAAGAATTTATCATTCGTCTTTCTGATGATGATTAGTACACAACATTCTAATATTACCATTCAGTGCAGCATGATATACTCGCTTCTCGGCCAATCCAATATCTGAGAGTGTCATATTTCCCTGGTATGGAGGATGAAAACACATCAGGGGATATAAACTAGTTTCAAACTCTGGAAAATTAATGAAAAATTGCATACCTCCCGAGCCATTAATCTTCGTACGTTTTCCGCATAAAGTTTTGGGTCATCCTTTTCTTGTTGCGAGGGAAAGTAAATGGGTAACCGAATCACTTCCATATGATTGATAAATTGGCAGAGAAGTAAAATGACATGCCGCGCCTGCGGATAAAAATTATC